GTATAGGGTCCTTTCCTAGACCCCTCCGGATTGAAGTTAAGGCACTTATTTGACAATTCACACTAACGGTGAAGGGTCTTATCACTTGCCTAATTTCGACTCTATTATGGTTGTCTTGTGCCTTCAGCCCTCCCTTTTTGTCTAGAACTGTCTTAAGTTACTTAGTTCAATCGCTATCAACTTTTGGTAGGGGTATAAGGGTTTTTTAGAAAAATTTATAAAACGTGAAGGGTGTACCCCTCCGGATTTGTGTAATTTGCTAAAAACAATCTCAAAATAATTTTCTCGCTCGCTTTTTCGAGTAATTCTCTTTCCTACTAGTAAGTTCTGCTAATTTCTGATCTATTGGTACCAAGATCAACTCAATATGCTCAGTAGTTCCAAAGTTATTAACTAAAACGTTTTTCTTCCAAACTCAAAAATTTTCTCTCTTATAGGTTCCGCCTAGCTTTTTCTGCAAATCTGGTCCTTTCGACCTAAAAATTATTGATCTGAGCTCAGAAGGCCTATACTCTTCTAGTTCAATGCAAAAGACCCGATCTAAAACGCTTTTGTAGAAAAATTTTGCGAAAAACTATGCTACCTGGACCCCTCCGGATTGATGAATCCACCAAATCAAACACGTTATGTTCGATTTCTCTGCAACCCGGAAGGCTTTCGGGTAGCGGGTTTTAAAACTCGTAGATTCACTAGTGGACGTTGTCCGAACAACTATTTTTACTGTCCTAACTCAAAGATTTCAAAAAATTTTCTGATTTTATTGTGTTTCTTACTATCAAAAAATGCGAAAATTTGGTTTTTTGTACCAAACTAGTTCCAACCACTTCCGAACTAAAGTTAACCGGTTCTACTTATTACAGTAGTGCAGTTACGATGTAACACACTAACTTAGCGCTTTTTTCCGTTTCAAAAAATATCGATATCTCAAAAATCGCGACTTGTGGGGGAATCAAAATATCGCTATTTTGACCCTAAAACCGTTGTTTTTCACTGAAAAACGATATAAGACTATTAATATAGGCTATATAAGTAATAATATTAGTAATACTATACCCCTCCGGGTTTGTTTATTATCCGAATTAAGGTGCTTAACTCGGATATTCGCAGTTCGGTGAAGGGTCACTACAGTGCAGCACTGTCGAGCCCCCCACAGATTACTATCTTACTTTTTTTACCAAAAGGGATACAAAACTTGTTAACGATACCCAACAGTCGATTGTTGTTGTCGTTGAGCCCCTTCTTGTTGCTCCTTGTACTGCTTGCCGGATCGGTCTTCACCCAGGACCCTTCCGAATTGAGCGCAAATCAGCTGACCCTTCCGGATTGAGCGCAATTTATCATTAACGTGCTTAAATGCTCAAATAACCCTACAGTACAAGCCTCACAAACGGGCTACAAAACTGATCGTAACGATCCTGACTGATATAAATGCCTGTAATAACAATATATCTACCAACAACAAACGGGGGGGTTGAATCACATCTTGTCTGGGGGGATGATTTCTACTGATTTTTTTTTTACTTTTTTACTGTTTTTGGTTTTTTCGGTTATTTTTTATGTTTTTTGTTTTTCTTGGGTACTATACTACTTTTTGTTTGGTTTTGCTCATATCTTTAAGTGTTTTTGGTCACAAAACACTCAGGGGATGAGGGGTTCATGATTCCCCCCACCCTTCCTGGTTCGTGAATTTTCGGTCTTAACTAGGTTAAAAAACTATTCACGGTAATCCGGAAGGCTTCCGCGTTCCGAACTACCCTTCCGCCCCGGCAGTTTAGGCCTATTAAGGGCGTTAATGTGAGCATCGTTAACGGTTCCGCCGGTCATGATGTTATGAAAGAATAACACCCAGGAGCGCCATAAAAACATACATGTAACATTCGCCCGGAAGATACATATCGACGGATAACAAAACTAAGTCTTAAGACGACTGGCTAGCGTCTAAACAGAGCTTTGCATGCTTTTCACCGTCTCTACCAAGCCAGTACTTTTCGGTGGTCTTTCTAACATCGGGTCGACAAAAACGTTACTGTTCTCCGGCTTCGACCAGAACGCTCAAATTAACTAGATTACATGCAGAAATAGTGAGCTCATGGCTGGGTCTCAGTATCCCCAGACCACGAGGTCACTCCTAAAAGCAGGGCTACTACTTATTATATTACTATTGTTTTTGTTCAGTAGATAAAAATCATCATCTCCATCGAAGATGGATCAACCCTTTCCCCCACTCCTAGCTTCTCATCCTTATCAAAATGAATCCAGTTGTTAATTAAATTCAATTCAGGACATGACAAGAAGCTAAAAGTTTATATAAAAGGCTAAAAGTTCCAGTCCCGAAACCCTTCCGGATTCTTGAATCCAGTGAATCAAGCTCCTTAAGTTCAACTTCACACCAATCCGGAAGGCTGGTTCTCACCCTTCACCGTTGTTGGCAACGGCCTTGCAACTATTGTAGCAGCACTATAGTTGCAACTTGGAACGTTCTCTGCTATTGTAGTTCGTTGTCGTTTTTCTTCAATCTCGATTTTCGTTCTGTTCGCTATCACAGATAAAGTTGTTCTCTTTTTTCACTCGTTTTTTGTTAAAATGGCCGTTTCAGCATTTCTCAGAAATGTGACGTCATCATTCGAATTTTTGAAATTTTAAAATACTGGAATATTCCAGCCTTCACCGTTTGGCTAAACGTTCCAATAACGCCCTTAGTTCTTAAAAACCACCAATCCGGAAGGCTTACTGCTAAAATTCCGAATTCTGCAGAGATTGCATTTTGGCCATTCTGGTCGAATGTCACAACTCGAACATTGGATCATGGACAACTAAATAATTGTGAAATAGATTTCAAAGCTAACATAATTTCAAGATCTTAAGGGCAACTCAGAAGGGTTAGAAAAATCGGCTATGCACGTGAAAGATTTTTTTTTCAAAAAAATTTGAAAGGAAAATTGTGTTAATTTCGTTGTATTTTAAAAATTAACCATTGTACCTAAATGACTAATGAGGATTGGTTGCTATTTTTTTTAGCTAATGAATCAGTTGTGTTCTTCAAGCAAAGCTACAAAAGTCATTGAATTGGATTGGATGCTCGTTTATTCTGGATTGGATGCTCATTTTTTTTTCTTGTTATTGAAATAGTTGTCCTTCAAGCTAAGATAATTGCATCAGAAAAAACAGCTTCCAATAATGAGTTGCTGCATGTACACAGCTGCATGTTTAATTTATAAGGCAATATGTGGTTGTTGACTTGGCAACTTAGTCATGTTGAGCATTTGTTGTTAAATATTTGCTAACATTTATAACATACATGCTTCAATTGACGGTAGAATGTGCCCTCTTTAGGTCTAATTCATTCCGATTTGAATGTTAAACACTCTGATATTGAACAATTGGTTACAGCTTTGTTGTAAATTTAGTAGGCTCTCATGTCTTTTTCATTTAGAGGAAATGCGCTAAATAAATTTGGAACTAACCAGTAGTTTTCGATTCTGCTTGTCAATGGTAAAGTTTCAGACAGATTTTTCTTCATGTCAGTAGACAATTTTAAACCAATGTCACAATTTTCATGGATAGAATTCTCACTACTCTCGAAGAAATAACTTAATTTGGGAAGTATTGAAAAGTTTACATCAGTCAATCTTAGCTTCAAATTAAAACTATCTGAAGTTTCGTGCCATATTGTTGTTCTCGGGTTAGAAACATCAGTTTTCGCCCTTAGTCTGGTGGTGTATGATTTTGAGCGTGCTAATTTCGAGGATTTGCACGCTTATAAAGCTTACTAGAATTTTGTGAAATAGTCATTGATCTCCATAATTGGTTGCGTTGCTTTTTAGCCGTCTAAAAATGATTTCTTGGTTTAGTAATAACTCATTGGTCATTTAAAGATTTAATAATTATTAAACAAATTACTGAACTGTTTTCTTGCAAAATTTCTTCTGACATTTTTTGAAAAAAAAACTCTTTCACAGGCCGATTTTTCACGTTGATAAAGAAAACGATAATCTCTCTGAATTTTCTAAAATTGGTCGCACCATAAGATCTTGAAATTACGTTAGATTTGAAATCTATTGCGGCAACAATGTCAATGTTTTTGAGATAGTTAGAGGAGGAGCCTTACTTGAGAACTTGCTATACAGAAGTATGAGATTATCTTTTTACAAGACACTTCATTGAATAGGAATCAAAAGCTATCTGCCTGACTGATTTCTCCTTTTCCTTACAACCAAATCTCAATTCCATATCTTCTCATTGGTGAATACATAATCATTTTTAGAAGTGTTAGAATTCAGCCTGTGGAGTAGTTCACTTAGCGAATGATACTGCCACGCACAAAGGTCTATACGAAACAAAATAAGGTTGCACGCCCGAGGAGTGTAATTCTATGCATCCGTGTTGTATAAATTGAAAAACACAAATAAGCATAGACAAATCTATTTGTTCAATAATCGAGAAAAATTAATACGCGTTCGGTATCTTGTTTTCCGCTATCAAAAAGACAAAATTGGTTAAAACGATCGGGTATTTCGAAATGACGGTCATCTGTGTTAATAGTGGGCAGGGATGTCGTTTGTTAACTTCTGTTTAAAGTTCGCGTTAGCGCCGACCGGGAGGGCAAAGACAGTTGGGTTACTTTTTCGTCCTGCACCAATTGCAAACCAGCTGCGATTATCTGGCTGTTTACTGGATTTAATTGATTCCTAACTGTCTCCTTCATTTGTTGAACTAGTTGCCGAGCTTCTGAGCGTCCTGCGTTGAGCTCATGACTATGCTCGTTGCTATGTGAGATTATATCGCTCCCAGAAGTGATTAAAGTGTTCGCATTTATACGATCTCCATTTGCTGCAGCGCCAGTGTGTCGTTGTCTTCGTATCGCGTTTCTTTTAAAATTCATGGCCATCAAGAATAATCAGTGATTGGCCTTTTTGTGAGGTTCCCCAAGTAAAAGAATTCATTTTTGACTTATCAATGAGTTAAAGACTTATCAATGACAAAAACAGCCTAATTGTTGTGATAAACTTATTAAATAGTTTGAGATGGGTATGTGCCGCTGATCACCTGGCTGGACGTTGCACACTTCCTGACCTGCCCGAAGTGCACCACTGGTCTTCAGGTAGCGTGCCCGATCTTGACTCTGGCTCTCCCCTTCTGCCTTCGTTATCTCTACGTCTGGGTGAGACCCCTCCTACGTTAGGCATGCAATTGTTTGCCTCTTTCTTCTCGACCGTGTTTCTGGTTTTAGCTTTCAACCGTGTGCAGAACGGTCACACCCCTGTTGGATCTACTCACATGCTGCTGCTGGCTCGCGAGAAACCTGATCCACAATCACGACAAGAACTGCGGTCACGCAAGTTTAAACTCAACTCAAAGCTGTCGTTTTATAACATTTCTATGCTCCTTCTTTTATGCGCTGGTGATATTGAAAGTAATCCTGGCCCGGCTGTCGACCCTACTCAGTTGCTCAGATTTGTTAACGCCGCGGAGATCTTAGTCGGGTCGTCTGTGGCCATCTCGGACCTAACCTCCGGTATCTATGATGCTTCTATCCTCAAAGTTGACAACGATCGCTTCTTTGCTCACTTTCGTGGTTGGAATAAAAGCTATGACTCCTGGGTCAACCTTGATCAAATTTTCCGGCTCCCTGATGGTTATGTTCCGATAGGCCGGAATTCTCGCGGTCCTATTTGCCTTCTAGCGCCTCCTGTCTCCAGTCCTATCTCTGTCGCTTTAACGAGTTCTCCTTCTCGGGATGCTCCTGTTAGCTCTGGCCTCTCTCAAGGGATGTCAAGTATGACGATCTCGGCTGAGCTCGCCGAAAGCGCTGTGCCGGATCTTTCTGACGTCATGTCTTCCAGAGTTGACACTGTCCGGTTCGTTCCGATTTCTCTTCGTAACGAGTGGTCTGAGGTTGTTGGTCACGCCCTTGACAACTGCGCCACCGCTCCGGACAATCTGAAAAACTGGACTCGGTTGCTCATGCTCCCCAAATGTATCTTGAAAGCCCCTCGCCGCGGAGGCAAGTCTCACGCCGCTAATAACTGCAGAGACATTCGCCAAAGAATCAAGTCCTGGAAGGAGGGCAATATTTCGGACCTCTGGTCTAACGCTACCAAAGGACCTAAAGAGCGAACGAAGAAAAACAGCAAACCTTCTCCTGACTTTAATGTCCGCAGAGCCAAAGAGCTAGCAGGCCTCGGTCAGTTCGGCAGAGCAGCTAAAGCCCTGTGTTCCGATGGCCTCGTGTCCAAAAGTGACGAGTCGCTTAAGGACCTTCGCAGTCTTCATCCTTCCGCTGACCCTCCTGTCTTTTCTGGCCGGGATGAATCCCCTCTTGCCTACCAATTCGAATCTGAGTTCGTTCATAAGTCTCTCAAAGGTTTCCCGAGCGGCACTGCTGCCGGTCCTTCGCGCTGGTTCCCTGAGCACTTTGTTCACGCCGTTGAGTGCCCCACTCCTCAGACTGCTGCCAGAACGTTAGAGTCTCTCAACAGGGTTGTTAATATCCTCGCTGCCGGGCAAGCCCCTTCTAGTCTCTCTCCGTGGCTATGCAGCGCGAATCTCTTTGCCACCGCTAAACCCAAGGGTGGTGTCCGGCCTATTGCGGTCGGCGAAGTGCTCCGAAGGCTCACTGCTAAATGCCTTGCTAAAGCCGCCAACGCTGAAGCTCGTGATTTTCTGTGTCCTCACCAGCTTGGAGTCGCTACCAGCGGTGGCTCGGAAGCCATTGTCCACGCTACTAAAATGACAGTCAAAAAGTGCTCGGAACATGGTCACCAAGGCGTCTTAACAGTGGATTTTGAGAACGCTTTCAACACGCTAGACCGCACCGAGATCCTCCTTCAAGTTCGCAACCGTCTTCCCGGTCTCTCCGCCTTTGTTGAGTTTACCTACGGTCACCACAGTCATCTGCTGTTCGAGGATGTCATTCTCAACAGCGAGAAAGGAGTTCAACAGGGGGATCCGCTAGGGCCTCTCATTTTTGCGGTCACCCTGCACTCTCTAGTCGAATCTCTCAAGTCGGAAGTCCCCGGTCTCACCCTCAACTGCTGGTACCTTGATGATGGGATTTGTGCCGGCGACGAAGACTCCTTGCTCAAGGCTCTCGAACTCATCACTTCCAACTGCTTGCATCTCGGCCTCAAAGTCAAGCACAGTAAGTGTGAGTTGTGGGCCCCTGTGGAGTTCTCCTCCATCCCCGTCTCTATCCCGAGAGCAGCGTCTAATGGCTTCGAGCTTCTTGGCGCCCCCATTGGTGATACTGAGATCTCAGTTAAAGTCCTGGACAAACGCATCTCGAAGGCCACCAAATGTCTTGAAAAGTTACCTCTTCTTGATGACCCCCAGCTCTCACTTGGCATCACTCGCACTTGCCTTGCTGCTCCCAAGCTGACGTACTCTCTTCGGACTCAGCCGCCCTCTCAGCCTGTCGCAGCTTCCCTGCAAGTTTTTGATGAACTCCTCCGCGATGCCCTTTCTGTCATAGTTGGCTCACCTGTTCCTGATCTTGCCTGGTCCCAGTCTTCCCTGCCTATCAAAGATGGCGGACTTGGCGTCCGGCAAGCTCGCGACCAACACATCCCTGCCTTCCTAGGGTCTTCGTGTCAGTCAGCTCATTTGGTCTCGTTTCTAACCGAATGCGACATCACTGATACGCCGGAGTTCCTGCGTGCCTCGAACGACTTCCGTGAACAGTCTGGAAGCGTTAACACTCCCGGTTTTACTCAAGAAGCTTTCCAAGAGAAACTCGATAAGGCCACCTACAACGCTTTCTTCTCGTCACTTCCCGATTCCCGCGAGCAAGCTCGTCTTCAGTCGCTCTCTCTGCCTTACGCCGGCGCTTGGCTTACCGCAGTCCCCATTAAAGGTCTTGGCCTGCACCTGCTACCCGCTGAGTTCCAAGCTGCTGTCAGATACCGCCTTGGTCTTCCTGTGTTCGCGTCTGCTCGTAGGTGCCCCGCGTGTCCGTCTGGCATTCTGGACGTCCTCGGGGACCACGCTGTCGCTTGTGGGGGGAGTGGTGGCCGGATCTCCCGTCACGACAGACTACGGGACATTATTTTCAATGCTACCTCGGCTGCCTCTTTAGCCCCCATCAAGGAGCAACGGAACCTCATCCCTGGAGAACGGTCCAAACCCGGCGATATTTTAATCCCTACTTGGAGCGCTGGTCGCCCAGCTGCTTTCGACGTCACCGTGACATCCCCGCTGCAGTTATCTCTTCTCTCTCGTGCGGCGGAGACCCCCGGGGCGTCCCTGGAAGTTGCTGAGGACCGCAAATTTTCGAAACACGAGAAAAACTGTGAGGAACAAGGAATCAGTTTTTTCCCGTTAGCAGTCGAAACGCTCGGGGGTTGGTCCGCTTTAGCTATCAAAACCCTCAAGTCAGTTGCTATCCTCGCTGATGCCAGACGTTCTGGTTCACGTGACGCTCGTGTTGCCCCAGTTCGCCTTCTCCAGAGCCTCTCAGTGTGCCTCATGAGAGGAAACGCCACTATGATTGTCAGCCGGGCCATCTAGTCTTGTGCAGTTTATTACGTTTTTTGCATTCCCAATTCTGGTGCTCCTTTGTTCCTTTGCTGTTAGCGCAAATTAGTTTTCTTTTTTTTTCTTTTTTTTTGTTCAAGTAAATGTATTAATTAACTTTCGAAGAAAACGGAATATATAATAAAATATTTTCTAAAATTGGTCGCACCATAAGATCTTGAAATTACGTTAGGTTTGAAATCTATTGCGGCAACAATGTCAATGTTTTTGAGATAGTTAGAGGAGGAGCCTTACTTGAGAACTTGCTATACAGAAGTATGAGATTATCTTTTTACAAGACACTTCATTGAATAGGAATCAAAAGCTATCTGCCTGACTGATTTCTCCTTTTCCTTACAACCAAATCTCAATTCCATATCTTCTCATTGGTGAATACATAATCATTTTTAGAAGTGTTAGAATTCAGCCTGTGGAGTAGTTCACTTAGCGAATGATACTGCCACGCACAAAGGTTTATACGAAACAAAATAAGGTTGCACGCCCGAGGAGTGTAATTCTATGCATCCGTGTTGTATAGATTGAAAAACACAAATAAGCATAGACAAATCTATTTGTTCAATAATCGAGAAAAATTAATACGCGTTCGGTATCTTGTTTTCCGCTATCAAAAAGACAAAATTGCTTAAAACGATCGGGTATTTCGAAATGACGGTCATCTGTGTTAATAGTGGGCAGGGATGTCGTTTGTTTACTTCTGTTTTAAGTTCGCGTTAGCGCCGACCGGGAGGGCAAAGACAGTTGGGTTACTTTTTCGTCCTGCACCAATTGCAAACCAGCTGCGATTATCTGGCTGTTTACTGGATTTAATTGATTCCTAACTGTCTCCTTCATTTGTTGAACTAGTTGCCGAGCTTCTGAGCGTCCTGCGTTGAGCTCATGACTATGCTCGTTGCTATGTGAGATTATATCGCTCCCAGAAGTGATTAAAGTGTTCGCATTTATACGATCTCCATTTGCTGCAGCGCCAGTGTGTCGTTGTCTTCGTATCGCGTTTCTTTTAAAATTCATGGCCATCAAGAATAATCAGTGATTGGCCTTTTTGTGAGGTTCCCCAAGTAAAAGAATTCATTTTTGACTTATCAATGAGTTAAAGAGGGAGATAATGAATGCAGAGTGTATACATTTTCAATTGAGTTGTTCTAATTCAATGCCATATTAACACTAAATTAAACACATGTTAATCCCAACAATGAGTCCAGTTTAAATTTAGTTATCTTAAATTTGCATTGTTTTTTAATAGCGTGAACCTAATTGAGATATCATCACTCTAGATTTATTTCTGCTTACACTTTGATCATGATTTTTGTTCATAATGCGTGGGATTTTATGGTATGGGCGATTTTTATACAAGGGATCTTTTGGTATGGTATCTTTTGTCATGGGAGTTTTTGGTATGGTATCTTTTGTCCTGACACCCAATTGACATAAACAACAAAATAATGCCCGCCGCAGTCCTGCCAACGTGTTGCGAGCTTGCCAACAAAGAATAGGACTCTATTCTAAAATTAGAGCCGGTAATTGCCGCGAAGCGGTAACGCGTGCCCACCTGCGGCCTTAAACCGGACTGTTGTGAATCCAACTGTTTTTTTTTGTTCATTTCATGTTTTTTTGGAGCCTTTTGTTAGTTTACAATTTTTGAGCATACTGTATTTCAAATGCGCCTTCTCTTCGAACTTGTTTTTATGTTTGCTGTAAATTAACCAACTCCGATTTCAGTTTTTTCTTTTTCCGGCATTGAGAGTTTCGGGTGATTGTATACCGGCTTAGCGACGTCATTTTGTGCAGTATGGTGAGACCAAAGTTGTCGTCCAAAGTTTTCGTCCAAATGTTAAATTTCTGCACAACGTGGCGCTGTGCAACATTTGTCGGCTGTATTACAGCTTTGCAAGTTTCATTTTGTTGCTAATTTAACGTTCAAAGTGTGAAAAGACCCAGATTTTGTCAAGTAACCTTGAGCTGTGGTTGATTTGAAAGCAAAATTTTGATTGATTTTAATGATGTCTATCTTTTTTCTGAAAATTTCGAAAGTGGGCAGAATGCGCAGTATATTGTTAGTCAACCACAAATGACTGCGACTACTTTTCAGATTACTCGTGTTCTTCTGTCTCTCTGTATCTATCCTAGCCATGGGAGAACCCCAACTGAGCGACGAGGAAAAGAAACAAGTGGTACACTCTCTATTGTTGCAGACACCCCCTGGGGAATTCAATGAGACATTCAATGATGTTAGACTGTTGGTGGAGAATGACACTTTGTTGACCCAGTGTAGAAAGACATATATGGATTACTGGATGGAACAGCACACGCCTGTATGTCCAAAAACAAATTAGGGGGGGGGGGGGGGGTTGAGTGGGTTATCCAGGTTTCCACCCTCGCAAAATTAGAAGCTCAAACTGATTTATAATTGGACTCACTGTTCGTTTCTAAGTTTTGCCAGTGAATAGAAATATATATGTTTTCAATTTCATTTCAAATCTAGCGAAAAATGTCAATAAGTTTTCTTTTTTGTTATTACCCACTTGAATTACTTCAAGTAGATTTCATGTGGTCTAAACGAGTTTTTGAATGGGACTCATCAATAAATCTGGAGCATTCTTCTAACCGAGTTTTAAATTAAAAATACCCATTGTTATCTGATCTGCGCCGATTGAGCAGTCGAGAACGTTATATGCCTAGAAGCAACACACTTTTATTGGTATGTGTTTTCAGGTGAAAGTTGGAGACTCTGAGAAAGTAGCCCTGTCAAGAGAAGGACGCCAAACAGACGGGTCATTCTTGGCACCTCAAACACGCAAACTGTTCACATTTGACCCCATGCGACAGGAAGCGACGGTAGTGGGAGATGCCCCAGGAACCCCGGAACACGAGGCTTATCGGAAGGCTGTTGCGGAGAAGTTGCGGGAGTATATCACGAACCACTATCCAGAAGGCGAGAATTTGAAAGTTTTCCTTGATTTCCATCCAGCCTTAGTAACAAAAAAATATTGCCCCTTTGCACGGTTGTCTTACTATTATGGAACAGATTCCACTATTTATCGGGCTTTAATTTTTGAAGGGGGTTTAAAAGATGGTTAAAAATTGTTCATGAAGGCAGTTTTCAAGTGCGAAAAGCTCTAAAAATCTATTCACTAGTTGACATCGACATGTTTTATTCGGATCTTAGAGATAGAGAAATTTAAAGGGGGGGGGGGGTGAACTGGGAAAGGACTTTAAAAGTTATACCCACTGTTTCAGAGTAACCATTGATTTTATCAAGTTGTGTATAAGGACACAATGTTTTTGTAATTGTGGAATGAAGCCAAATGCCATTTTTGTCTTTCAACCTCCAAGGGCTCTTTTTCTGCTTTCCTTTTTCATAACCATCGGACAATTTGAACAAATAATTTTCTTGTAAAAACTCGCAAGTGGGGTGAAAGAGGAAAAAGAGTATAGTATTTTTCTGTGAAGTTGAAATTCCCTGAAACGAATTTACTGTTCGTTGGCAGTGTAGGTGTGGAAACAGTATTAGCGAGGACGAACCGGGAGAGTGGCTTGGCAGAGATTGTGATCGTGATTGAGTCGCACAAGTTCCAGAACCACAACTTCTTCACCGTCAACTGGCGGGAATTGTGGGTGGTGTCCATAGACCACACAGCTGGCACTGCAAACATGAAGGGCACAGCTAAAGTACAGGTGCGACAATTATTATTGGAGTTTGGTGTATTGATGTAATTAGCTGTAGTTAGCAAATGTAATGCAACCGGATGCTAGATTTGTTGCCACGTTAGAAACCTAATTCAGATATTTTCTAGCATAGAGAACTCAAAAAAAAGTATTTGATAGGAGGTCAGCCCTGAGTTCTCAACACTTAACAATTTTGCCGCTCGTTAAATGATTTTGATTGCTTTTTAACGGCGGTGATTGTGATCCTTGACATATGTCCTCAAAATCAAGGTCATTCCAGACAAATTTTTTTTGAATGTAGATATTTTAGGACCAAAACTGCATGATTTGAGCTGGTTTTACTCGCTGAAGAAATTTTTCATGAAACTGGAACGAGCTCAAAAGACTGATTAAAGACAGCGAATTTGACTGATACTCCATTTTTGTAAAGGAATATCCGTATTGAATCATGTGCGGGGGAGGGGGTGGAAAAGAGCCGTTAAATTAGTCTATTATCGATTGTTTGCGTGTGTAGGTGCACTACTACGAGGACGGAAATGTACAGAAGGTTTCTAAGAAGGACATGGAGTGCAGTGGCCTTAAATTCACAGACCAACTCAGTCTGGCTGAAGAAGTGGTGAGGAAACTCGAGGAAGTGACCAACAGGTTTGTGTTCAATGAAAGTAGACAGAATGTTTTTTTGTCCTTCCCTCACCTTACATAAGCAGCAGTTTTGTGATACGACGAGGCATTTTTAAAAAATTTAATATGAAGATCAAATTTGTTTGTATTTGCCTCTTTAGTCTGCCTTTTAATTTACTGGGGGACCAGTACATTCTATTAATTTCAAAGAAAACGTTTTTGTTTCTTGAGATACCTGAGAACAGACTTGTAGGTATTATGGGAGCCTTACAAAGAGTTTTTGTATATAGCTAGCTGCACCTGATATAAATGTCTGAAAACAAATTATTATGATTATCTTCTTTTTCATTATTAAATTTGAATGAATGTAGTAAAGGCGCTTCGATAGGTCGTGATACAAATTTTTCCAGGAAAATCTTTAAAGTTTTCACGCTTAAATTCAATTGTGTATGGTTTGATTACTTTCTTATTTAGTTCAAAATATTGAGTCGATGAACTTGGTGTTTTTTTCAGGTAAAGTGTTCTAATAACTACAGATGGGCCTGAATAGATATTTCTGCATTTATGAATGCACGTAGGCATATATAGGCTCTTTTTGAGTTAAATTGAAATTCTTCTGCTGAAAGTTAGGTACATTAGTGGACGAAATTAAACGAAAAATTTAAGTTTTTACTCTCGAAACCGTCTTTTTTTCGAAGTTTATATGGGATAACATTTGTTAGGATTTTCACCAAAATTTTTACCTTGATCTACTGCAAATAATATTAACTACATTCTCTGAAAGTTTCATTTTTGGATTTGAATCACTTACCAGTTTTTTTCCAAGTCTTAAAATGCCAGTAACTTGTATAAGAAATAATGTATTGTGTAAATCCAATATAAAGGCACAACGTCAATATCTGAATCTGAAAAGTGTTTATGCGTTAATATAATGATACTATCTAGCGAGTGAGTTGGCAGGTTGATTACATGTATAATTATGCGTGCACAAAATATTAAACGCAGTGAAATACAGTCTCACACACTGCACTCTTTCTGTTAAAGGAATGAATAACAGCGGAGTAGAAGCATGATTTGAATGAATACATTATAATCACACATCAGCTCAGATACAGATTGCATGCATGTTCATTGAGTTTTAGCACGTTGGGATAATCAATGAGAAGTTGAATACTGCTTAAACTCAATCGGATAAAATGCACAAATTATACAAGCATAAGTGAATAGACACAAGTTGGTATCAGTCAATATTGAAAGGTTTTACACGAACATCGCTAATTAAGGAACTGATTTAGCTGAACAGCATGAAATGCATAAATTATAACTACACAAATACATGCACGAATCACAAAATGGAAGGAAAATAGTAAATTGTTGCTAAATATCACCATATTTTCTGTTCTTTTCTCTCTTTCTCGGAATTACCAGACAATGACACACCGTCAGGTAGCTTGGAACTAGCCATAACGTCCAAAAGGAGCTCGGGAATAGCGGTTTTCTTGGTTAGGCAGTCCGCTAATTGCAATTTACCCTCCAACCAATACACAGCAGAAACATTTCCCTGCTCCAACAGCTCTTTTATCGAACTGATATCTACTCTGAGTCTTTTTTCATCCACCGTCTTATTAGAATACAATGCGTGGAACAAGGAAAGGCTATCAGTGAAAGCTAATATCGGAATTCTAACGTTCAGTATATGAAAAATAAGTTCCTGAACATATACTGCAGAGTCCAAAGCATCCTGTAGCGACAATGTTTCGGCAGTAAGTGTGCTTTTTGCAACTCTTTTGATCCTCTTTGAGCTCCAACAAAGAAAGTGACAATCTTTTGTATCTGAGTCGACCATAAAAACAATGTGACCTCCTTGAGACCCTCCGTCTTCCAGGTTCTGGAAACTTGCGTCAGCAAAAACTACCAGGAACCCAATCTTTAGAGCATTAGGAAACACCATTTTAATTTCACTATTGAACTTGAGTCTTCTCAGGAGCTTGTTGGCTTCATGTACATGCGACACTGCAGTCTTTTTACCTGCGCCTGATAAAGAATTTGCTCCGAAACATACATCAGGCCTAGTTTGACCGCCAAGCCATTGTAACTTGCCTAGGAGACCTCTGAGGTTTGCGACTTCTTCATCCAATAAAACCCGCGTTTTGTCACCAGTTACACTCATTTCATGCATGTTGTGAATAAAGTGTTCTTGAGACACATTTATAGCATTTTCGCTACAAGTGATTTTCAACCCAGTGAAAGTAAAATCTCTACAGTGCTTCCGTCCGATCTTGAATGTATTCTCAAGCGTCTTGATAATGGTATCATGGAACTCCTGGTCACCGGCATATATAAAATCGTCAACATGTATACCTATTATACCTCTGCAAGTAGAATTCTTTTTCCAGAGAAACAATGAAGGCTCAAATGGACAAGGTAAAAAATGGACTTTCAAAAGCTCTTCTTTAACGCGTAGATACCATTGCATGGATGCATCCTGCAAACCGTATACTGGTTTCTTGAGCTTCCATATTTCTTTCTCGGAGCAATACTCTCTAGGGGGTAAAACATAGATTTCTCTGTCAAGAGATTTACCTTGTAAAAAAGCAGTTTTAACATCAATCGTCGAGGGTGTCCACTTTTTCACCGAACAAATCGATAGAAAAACTTTAACTGATTCCCTAGCAATCACGGGTGACTCTCTTTCCGGCTTTTCAAGGTCTTCATTGTACCCTTTAACAACTAAACGGGCTTTGGGTATAAGTTCTGATCGACCATGTGTTTTTTTCATTGTCAATATCCAACGAGTGCGCATTTTTTTCTGACCAGTGTCTGGTACAACACTATAGACATCGTTAGTTTTCCAGCTCATAATTTCATTGTCTTTTGCATTCTGGAAAACTGTGCTCTGCAAATCAGTTAGAAAAATTTCACTGTCCTCGATAGGTTCCCATGATTCAACGTCTTTTTCTAGGTCCAGACAAGCTTGCTGGCCCTGAGCCCATTCAGGTGACTCATATTCGATGTTATATGAGTTTTTATACTTTCCCGTCGCCTTACCAGCTCGAGAAAGAATTTTTGCCACAAAATCCTGCTCTTCAAAGCCATTTTTATTGCTCCTACAGCATATTCTTGAGTTGATTTTCGGTGGTTTTCCCAAATTCTGATGCGATATCACTTCTGAGCTCTGGTTCTCGTCGTCATGACTTTCAGGTTTGATCAACGGTGCATATCCAATATTGTCGCTACTTTCTTCCTCACCCATTGAATTCTTTTCAGCGGAGAGTGTTTCGGCATCGTTTGACTCTCTAATATTCAGCTTTTCAACAACTGGCGTTTCAATTCTATCGCAGGTTGACTCTGTAGTTTTCGGAACTTTATCACCACTGTACTCCTCTTCTGAATGACCAACTTGAACTTGATTCTGAGAAGAAGTTACGCTGTCAGGTGGAGGACAATGGACGTTGTGTGGAGAAACGTCAACTGAATTTTCTAGTAGAACATCGGTTTCATGAGCTCTGACTACAGCTGACCCATGACGAAGGAAAATTACTTTACCATCTTTTCCAATTACACGAGCGGGCCCTTTCCAATTACGGCTCTGTTGACGCCTGTAGTACACAATATCGCCACATTCACAGCTAGTACTACCTCGTACGTTATGCCTTAAAGCTCTACGGATTCTTTCGGATGCTTCTGCTTCTGCGAAGCATGATTTGGTCCTGTTGAATAAAGCGAGCAGGTTCTCAACATAATTATGAACACCTTCTCTCTCATTCAAAGCCGGCAGCTTGCAACTGATGACAGAAGGGCCTATTGGGTTTCGTCCGAGCATGATCTGGGAAGGAGTAAAACCATGATTATTGAACTGATTGTTTTTTGCACAGCAAGCCAAGGATAACTTTGTGTTAACGTCGAACGAAGGATACTCCTTAGAAACCTTATTGAAAATTTCTGTCAAAGTTCTATTGTGACGTTCGCACAAGCCGTTGCTGAACGGTGAGTAAGCTGCTGTTGTCATGAGTGAGAAACTGAATGCTTCTGCAAATGTTGCCAACTGCTCATTAGCAAATTCCCCGCCATTGTCAGTGAGGATACTTTTCGAAGGTGGTCCAAATATTGAAATCCAAGAATTTACTAGACCACCGATTATAACTTCAGCCTTTTTTGATCTGATAGCAACCGCCACACTGAATCTGCTGAACAGACAAATAATATGAAGATACCACAAATTTGTATCAAGTTGATGAAGATCCATGGCAATGACTTCATTCGGTTCACTTGCCAAAGGCAGTGATACAATCGGTTTTCTTCTCGGCAGAGCCGTCTTCTTGCACACTTCGCATTCCCCAATGACTCGCTGAACATCTTCTATGACAAATTTGGCATTTGCACACTTCAATAACTTACTCAAAGAGTTGAGACTACAGTGCCCAAACTGTATGTGAAGTTTTCTCAGTTCCTTCGAAGTCAAGATGTCGTTTTCATGCTCTGATATGAACGCAGTACTCACCAAATCACCAGGTGGTAATAGGGGCAAAATGTAATGTCCTGAAGACGTTGTTTTCAGCTTCACCTTTTTACCAAATATCAGTAAAGAGTCGTTATTCGTGTCAATTACTGCACCAGCCTTTTTCAATGCTGCCTTGCTCATTAAAAGTGGTAAATCACTGGATACCACATCGGCTGCCAGAGTACATAAGCGACCAGCAATTTCAATAGGTAAAACTACTTTAAAATCTGCAGATTGTTTCTTCATGTCTCCGAACATAATGCTTGTGTTTGAATCTTGCAAAACTACTAATTTCCGCTTTTTTTCGGGCAGACAGTGAAGATAACGATCAAGCCATGTTTGTCCACAAATACTTCCGGTACAAGCAGTATCCAAAATGGCAAAATTAAACGCTTCTTTCAATAGACGAGAGCCTGCAATCAAAGCGATAGTTATAAGCGATTCCTCGGGGCTGGGATCATCTGCTATATCAGTAGCTTCTGACAAATTAACTTCGCTGTTCTTTTTTCTTGTGGAGTCAGGACAGGAACCAGCATAATGGAAAATGGAACCGCATACTATACATCTCGTCACTTTGCCATCTTTTCCAATGGGATTTTTCTTTTTCGAGACACTGCTTTTACTGAACTTACTTTTGCCCCAGTTTTTTCCGGGGCCCTTAGTAGCAACAAATACTTCAGTTTTCACAGTTGTACTACTCGCACTTTCTCCATCGTTAACAAAACTAAGGGAACCAAATATTCGCTTGAGAGAAGATTGAATTTTCGGATACTCAAGTGCAGAAGCAGAGCTTAGAACCATTTGTTTCTCTCGTTGATCAAGACCAGCGCTCTCAAGGAGTTTGCATCCTCTCACGTTCACAGGAAGTTCCATGTCGTACGTTTTCATTTCATTGTATCGCTTTTCAAACTCTATGATATAATCACACATGGATTGATCTGGCATCCTCTGGAAACCCTCGAACTTCTTGTACGCGTCAAAAGCAAGATCACATGCTTCTTTCTTGAAATGTTTGTCCAGTTCTGCCAGGAGTATGGACATTCCATCGTCAGTATTCAACTCATTCAAATTCATGGATATTGCAATATCTCTGAGCGAACCTTTTAGTGACAAGGCTACTGCTGCAGCTTGTTTGTCTTTTTTTAAATCTGTGACATGCTGCCAAAGGGTGACTTCTCGTCGCCATACTTCGTACGTCTTCCCGACGAACTCTGGAGGTGTCTTGTAGCTCGTCATTGCACTCCTGCTACCATTGTTAAAGTAACTTGTATAAGAAATAATGTATTGTGTAAATCCAATATAAAGGCACAACGTCAATATCTGAATCTGAAAAGTGTTTATGCGTTAATATAATGATACTATCTAGCGAGTGAGTTGGCAGGTTGATTACATGTATAATTATGCGTGCACAAAATATTAAACGCAGTGAAATACAGTCTCACATCGAAACCGTCTTTTTTTCGAAGTTTATATGGGATAACATTTGTTAGGATTTTCACCAAAATTTTTACCTCGATCTACTGCAAATAATATTAACTACATTCTCTGAAAGTTTCATTTTTGGATTTGAATCACTTACCAGTTTTTTTCCAAGTCTTAAAATGCCAGTTTTCACCATTTGCAATAGGTTTTTCCAACGGTGTGAAAGTATAAAAAACATTAGAGCTTGGGAAAGTTATCAGACTGAACAATGAAATTTACTCCTTTAAAATGTTTCACATCGCGTGATCAGTTTTTAATACTCCGCTTATTCAAAAAAGTGTTCACTCCCATAGAAACCTCATGACAAATAGTGAAAACTGTCTTTTTCAGACCTGAAAAAAAAACGGTAATTGATTCAAATCAAAAGTTGAAACTTTCAGAGAGTGTATTTTAGATCTTTTGCTGCAGGTCGATGAAAAAGTTTTGGTGAAATGCATAATAAATGTAAACCAGAATGGTCCTCTAAAAAAGGCATTTTAGAGAGTAAGAACCTAAATTTGCGCTTAATTTTGTCTACTAGTGTAAATTCCACTCTCCAAATACGAACGTGTAAATGGCGCATAAAAAGCTTGAACGGAAGTGGAGTTTAGTTTTTTTGATTTCTAAGCGGAATAAAAACTTTACCTATTGATTCAATGTTCTCAAATTGAGTTAATTTGATCAATAAAAGTGGCAAACATAAAATGTTCTATATTTTCAAAGAGCTTTAAGTGCATCTTTTTTTTTCATTGTTTTTAGTCTGTACTTGTGTTCATTGACCCTTTTCCAACTGTCGGTCGACTATGTTCCTTTGTGGACGAGGAGAGAAATTTATTGCTCGTTTGGGGGGGGGGACCAGTACATTCTATTAATTTCAAAAAAAACGTTTTTGTTTCTTGAGATACCTGAGAACAGACTTGTAGGTATTATGGGAGCCTTACAAAGAGTTTTTGTATATAGCTAGCTGCACATGGTATAAATGTCTGAAAACAAATGGTATAAATGTCTGTAGACAGGATGTTTTTTTCCTTCCCTCCTCTCATATAAGCAGCAGTTCTGAGATACGACGAGGCATTTTTGAAAAATTTAGTATGAAGATCAAATTTGTTTGTCATTGCCTCTTTAGTCCGACTGCGACTCTTACTTTTCATTATAATCGGACGTGAACAAAATTTTTTTTCCTTACTACTTGCAATTGGGGGGGGGACCAGTACATTCTATTAATTTCAAAGAAAACGTTTTTGTTTCTTGAGATACCTGAGAACAGACTTGTAGGTTTTATGGGAGCCTTACAAAGAGTTTTTGTATATAGCTAGCTGCACATGGTATAAATGTCTGAAAACAAATTATTATGATTATCATCTTTTTCATTATTAAATTTGAATGAATGTAGTAAAGGCGCTTCGATAGGTCGTGATACAAGTTTTTCCAGGAAAATCTTTAAAGTTTTCACGCTTAATTCAATTGTGTATGGTTTGATTACTTTCTTATTTAGTTCAAAATATTGAGTCGATGAACTTGGTGTTTTTTTCAGGTAAAGTGTTCTAATAACTACAGATGGGCCTCAATAGGTATTTCTGCATTTATGAATGCACGTAGGCATATATAGGCTCTTTTTGAGTTAAATTGAAATTCTTCTGCTGAAAGTTAGGTACATTAGTGGAAGAAATTAAACGAAAAATTTAAGTTTTTACTCTCGAAACCGTCTTTTTTTCGAAGTCTATATGGGATAACATTTGTTAGGATTTTCACCAAAATTTTTACCTTGATCTACTGCAAATAATATTAACTACATTCTCTGAAAGTTTCATTTTTGGATTTGAATCACTTACCAGTTTTTTTCCAAGTCTTAAAATGCCAGTTTTCACCATTTGCAATAGGTTTTTCCAACGGTGTGAAAGTATAAAAAACCTTAGAGCTTGGGAAAGTTATCAGACTGAACAATGAAATTTACTCCTTTAAAATGTTTCACATCGCATGATCAGTTTTTAATACTCCGCTTATTCAAAAAAGTGTTCACTCCCATAGAAACCTCATGACAAATAGTGAAAACTGTCTTTTTCAGACCTGAAAAAAACCGGTAATGGATTCAAATCAAAAGTTGAAACTTTCAGAGAGTGTATTTTAGATCTTTTGCTGCAGGTCGATGAAAAAGTTTCGATGAAATGCATAATAAATGTAAACCAGAATGGTCCTCTAAAAAAGGCATTTTAGAGAGTAAGAACCTAAATTTGCGCTTAATTTTGTCCACTAGTGTAAATTCCACTCTCCAAATACGAACGTGTAAATGGCGCATAAAAAGCTTGAACGGAAGTGGAGTTTAGTTTTTTTGATTTCTCAGCGGAATAAAAACTTTACCTATTGATTCAATGTTCTCAAATTGAGTTAATTTGATCAATAAAAGTGGCAAACATAAAATGTTCTATATTTTCAAAGAGCTTTAAGTGCATCTTTTTTTTTCATTGTTTTTAGTCTGTACTTGTGTTCATTGACCCTTTTCCAACTGTCGGTCGACTATGTTCCTTTGTGGACGAGGAGAGAAATTTATTGCTCGTTTTGCTATCAATTTCTCTTATGATTAAGTCATCACTTTTCCGTCTGTAATGAGATAAGATGACATTGGGACAAGTTTGAGTTATATAAAGTCCGTAGTTCCTTCTGGGGAACTGCTGCTTTTGACCTTGAGATCGATATATTGTCTGGCGCACACTGAAACAAAAGAATGCAGTTTATTTAGTATTTTGAACGATACAGTTGCCTTTGAATTGAAACATATTTAACCTCGTGTCTTCACACCTACTTCAGTGTTGCTGTTGTTTAGGTACCAGATGGCCATCAACGAAATCTACGGAGTGTTCCAGACTATCACGTTCAAATCACTGAGGAGAGCATTGCCAGTGACTCATTCCAAAATGAACTGGGAACAGATTGCCTCGTACAAGATAGGAGCCGAGCTGAAGAACCAATAGAGGGAGAGAGAAAGAGCGATGTAATAAATGAATGACACATATGTCTGATCAACTTACGTTGCAAAATTGAGCTCTCGTTTCTTTTTGCCTTAAACTGTCCAAAATGTTGAAAGCATCCCGCTTGAATGATAAAAAGCGAGAGTTCAGCTATGTTTAGAAAAACTTATTTGCTCTCAGCCAATCAGGAGCGAGCATTTCAAACTCCGTTTTCTTTTTTGGGCTCTTTAAAAATAATCAAGGGAACTTTTTATTTACCCCCAACCCCCTAGTGAAAAAAGGGAAGATTTTAAAATAGTTTCACAGTTCACATAAGCTCAAGTGTTGTTTTACTGCTTATAGTGCCATGTATTAATAATTGGGCTTGGAAATTGAAAAATTTATATGGGGTCCCAAAACGAAATGTAATTGAGGAACAATCTAGAAACATATGTGTCGATTAGCATATCCATGCTTGCTCTAAAACTGAAAGATTTAGATATGTTTGCCGAATTACGTTGTTGCAAATCGAATGACGAATAAATAATGAGGTTGTTATTTATACTCTTTTAATGCAAAAAAAATTGCTTAAAACCTCAAAAGATCCCATCATTTAAATTGTTAATTTTCTGTAGGCGAAATATTGGGCAATTTGTCTATCTGCACGCTTAATTGCTGTATTTAGCACATGCTAATTGACAGAAATGCTAATCGATTGGTCGCGTATCGCATTGAAGTTTTTCTGTTAGTTCCGGACAAATTTGAGGAGCTCTCTTAAATAAAATTAATTTATAAAATGAACACAGTGGTATGTTCTTTGACGCAGTTAAGAAAAGCCAACGTATTTGAGATGCTGGCTCTTTTTACAAAAAATTAATTTAGGGCACTTCGGAAAGTCATCGTCTATTAGAATGGATAGCAAATTCATAGCAACTGAAATCAATTTTTATCATATTAGCTTCTCGTAGAAATTATAAATTATATAAATATTTTGTGTGAATTGAAGGTTGAACGGTTTATGTCGAATTAGAGAAGCTAATTGATGGTGTCAACTATAGTTTTTAATGTATGATAATCTCTGTAATTTATGTCTGCCAAATTCTGATAAATTTGTTGTCTGATTGTGTAGTAAAGAGTGGAACTTTTAGGATCTTCTTAATCTTCTATATCTTCCTTTGGTAATTAGTTACGAATATTTTGTCCTCTATAAAAAGACTAATTCAACGGCTGAACATATAAAAATTGAATTTTTTTAAACGAATCTTCCATTTTTTGAATACTGGCGAAATTGTTTACAAGATCCTAAGTTAACTTATGTATAGATTGTTTCTCAAAATGGTTATTTGCTTACATTTGTTATATGGCAAAAATATATATTTTTTCAATTCATTTGTTTATACTGCTGTTTTCTGAATAACTTAAAAGAAGAAGAACACAATTTTAAGTGTTTGTTTCATGTGGAGTAGTTTTAAAAGAAGGAGAATAAATTTGCGTGTTGAAGTGTAAAAGAACGAAATAATTTTCACTTATTTGAGTCTTGGTGCTTTTTTTCAGGAAAAGTCTTGATATTTGTTCACGCTCAAATTGTGTTTTTTCGCGATTTGACTAGTTTTTTTTTTCAAGTTTACTTAATTTATTATGTTAAAAAGCAGGCAAAATCCAATATCGAGCAGCAAAAGTGTAGAAAAAACCCTCGATCAAAGAGCTCGAAGGCTAATTATTTTTTTCTCGGAAGTTCAAAACTTGAAGTTAAAAAAACAAGTCCGTTTTTTTGTTTCCTTGCCTTCTGGAACCTGATCTAAACTACATTTTATGATTGGATAAATTAAATGTTTTACCAATGTAAAGTATTTAATATTAACCAATCATGATCCATCTAACTAACAACCCACTTATTTGTAAGTGCTGAAGTTACTTGTAATTTCAGCACCAGAGAGATTTGAATTTAACTTAGAAATTAGTTGGACTCTCCCGAGCACTTCAGCAGCCGCAATAAACCAGTATACCCTAGATCTATTGAGCCTAGCAGAGACTAGTTAAACAACCTGAGACTAGATAGTATAAGAGTAAGATTAGGATCGGTATTAGACTAAGAAGTTGCACGAATCTATCCGGCCGAAAATAAGATAGCGTGACGAGCAGACGGTGTACCCTATCCGAAATTACTCTATGAGTTATACACTTCGGTCCTAACTCATCTGGTGCGACCATAAGTCTCGAACAAGACCTTAATAGATTAGATTTAACCAAAATAGATTAGAAATTAGACAAAAACATTTACAAAAATGTTATACGACAATAATTTAATTGAAATGTCTCTCCGACTCAATAGATCAGAGCCAATATTCCGAACCATAACAGAACTACCCGGAATTGGAAGAAGACCTCGAACCAAAGACGACATACGACAAAGTAGAAACTTGCCGTATAGTTATATGATAGTTCGGCAAAAGCCAGAACAAACTTTTATATTTCGAATACTACTTGCAATGAATTTAGATTTCCATTTGCAAACATAAAACCTTGAAGTTACTCTTCAAAATCATTTCAGGCGCTAAACAAATTTATTAATATACAATAACGATTGATAAAAAGATCTAAGATCGTTTTCCTAAAACTCTGCAGTATTATACAAAACATGTTTGAAAAATATTTATTGGAAAATAAAAATAAAAATTAGTAGCATGACAATAAATGGTTAGTAATCATAAATCATCCTGTTGTTCCAGCTTCATCATCTAAAACATAACAGCAATCATAAACCCACTAATATCATCAAAACACTAAATCTTTCCTTTACACACATTTAAAATTTTATTAAAACTTAAATTCACTTAATTTTAATACCAGATCATCAAGGCTTATCCTTGGATCTTAAATCATTTTCTACTTAATTAAATTTCAAATTTGATCATCAAGGCTTATCCTTGGATCAAACAGAACAACTTTGTTCTCCCCCACCCACTTAATTAGTGTCTAACGACCTCAAACGTCGATTCACTACCCAACCCTTTCTAAAGACCTAAGACTAATAGAAATTTTTAAACAAAACTAATCATTCAAATTAGGATAAACAGTGAAGAACTTCGGTTATTCATCCTTCACTTGACCCCCCCTCTTACCAGACCCAGGATAAATCTTAGACTTAGTAAGTTTAAAATAGTATCTAACGAACTACTCGCGTTCTAATTATACCTGAACCTTGTGGATCGATTTACTATTCTCCAACCCTTGAACACAATCACTACCCCTAAGTAAGATTAAGTAAGTTAACACCTTAACTTATACTAGCCACGAGAAAGTAAAAAATCATTCTTCGGAATCGATATACTTTTCTCTCCAACCCTGAACAAACAGACCCAGGTTAAGCTAACCAAAAAATCGTAAGAACTAACAGTTTAGGAAAATAGAAATCATTTAACAACCCTTTGCATCCGTCATTCTAAACCTTATGTCATTTAAAAACCTAGGAAATAAACAAACAATCGTTTTACACAATTGTGAAATAGATAACAAAAAATACGACCTTGTAATCACACCTCATACACAAACAGTTGGATACATTCGAACAAAACGACAAACACTAAAGAGAAAAATAATAACTAAACAAAGACAAATAACACGAAAAAGATTTTCAAAAAATCGAAACGCATTTTCAGAATCAGAAACTAACAGTTTAGACGAACTTTACAAACTAAAAGAATCAATAGATAAAAATTGCCCAATTCACGATCAATTATATTTCTCTGACTCAGAAACAACTTCAAATTCATCACAAAGAGGAAAAAGAAGAATAAAAAAGCAGTACAAACACAAACCAGTACATTTATACAATTGGAATCAACCAATTCGACACATTAATAATTACATATTAACAGTAATCGAACGAAAAAATGAGTTCAACGCACACCCCAGGTGAAGAAACTCCAGATGATGATGAAATCTTTCCTTTTATAGTAGACGCAGATACTGATAGAGGACAACTTATATTTTGTCAAAATTTACTCGTAAATTTATTTGAACCCGGAATCAGTCCATGTAAAACAGAGTTCCCCGATGTAAAAATTAAAAGACAAATCATAGATCACTATCTAAAAGATATATGCAACATAACACAACAGTATGGAATCTACTCCATAGAATTCACCTCACCAAACCATAATAATAGAAAATATACAATTCAAACAGACGATCTTGATTTAGAATTTTCAAAAGTTTTTTCAGAATATATAAAAAGCATCCAATATCATAACTCACAAAGAGCAAACTCCATATTCACCAATGAAGTTTTCGCAATAATATATAGTTATATTTCGATATTAGAAAACGAAATCCCAATAACAAATGTCTCACCAAAAGAAACATCTAAACATTTAAGAGTACGACATGAAATCACACTACTCTCTAGTTATTTAAACATCATTAAAGAAAATTTCACGAAAGACGACGTTTCACAACATACAAAACACGATCTACAAAAAATTTTGGCATGGTTCATAATAGATTATTTCACACACAATATTGATTTAATTGCACAAGCAAGAAAAAATTTTAGACCCCAAAATTCGAACGATGATACCGCTATCACAGAACAATCAGATTATGTTTGGGACCCCGAATGGTCTCATCCCGCATTTATAAGCTTTCCACAATCAATCTCAAGTCAAGCAATAGGTACAATATCTTACATAAGAGATTATGTAAGAGTAATACCATTAACAATTGATGCAACACCATTAAACTATAATACATTTTTACCCGATACACAAAATAATAGTTTAAACTCTACAGTTATACACAATGAAAACCTCAATGGAACTAGGAATCTTACTCAACAAGATATCCAGACACCATCACACTTCATAAATGAAGAAATTGTACACACAACAACTACACAACAAAGTATTTCACCAATACGCCCAAATTTAACAACACCAAGAAATACAAATCCTTCACAAACACAGGTAACCTTACAATCAACCGTTAAACCTTCGGTTACCCCTAAATATTCACATATGGATTACCAAACATACAGACCCATGACAATACCACCAAAAACACGCAAAACATTCACTAGAAACAACTTTGCAGACCATAATTATAATTATACACATCCATCAAAAACATATAATCAACCACAAAGAAATTTTAACCAATATACAAGATCTCGAAATTGGGATAACCCAATGGCCCAACCTAATTCAACAAATTTCCAAACAAATCCTCCACGGGATCACAGTGAAAATTACCCATTTTTTCAACAAAATAAAAATAAAAAACAGACATCTTATCAAATGGATTATTTATCCTCAGATGATGATTTCTTACAACCAGATATATTTGCACAAAATACTCAAGAATATCGTAGACAAGGAATACAGAGAACACGTACAAATCATAGAAATTTTTCTCCACAACCAATAGATGCACAAAATCAACAACCAATTCAACAACAAAATCCAATTAATACACAATCTTTTCAACCAATTCAACAACAAAATCCAATGACTGCACACTCGTATCAACCATCACAAATGCAAAATGAAATACCACTCCCATATTATCTCCAACAACATGAGATAACAAGAAACCAACTTTCAAATTTTTCTCAAATGCCAAATGCAGCAGAATCATTACAAATGACAATGAATCCATACCTTATGGGTGGATCATCAATAACATCAAACAAACCTTTAATGGTTTTCACAGGAACAGACCCTGAATACTCTGTAGAAGATTATTTAAATGCAGTAACAGCAAACCTGATTTTAAATATTGGACCTGAACCAATTAATACGCCACTACATCAAAATTGGATACATCGACGCACAGCGTTAATACAAACAACCTTAGATGGCGCAGCCCAAAAATGGTTTTCAGTACTACCTCTAGAAATAAAATCAAACTGGAAAAGATTTACACAAGAATTTTCAAAAATGTTTGACTCCGAAAGAAACAAACAACAACAAAGAGTTTTATGTAATGAAATTCGCAGATTACCAAACGAAACCATCAAGCAAATAGCAGTACGAATCGAAACACTAGTTCGAAAAGCATATTCATTAAATACACATGACTATAAAAACACAAAGATGACAGAAATCTTAATGATGACCTTAACACCACAATTAAGGAAAATAGCAATAAAAAAGAGAGCATCACATCCTTCTTCAATTCGAGAACCCGATTTAGATTTTCGAAAACTAGTAGACAAATTAGAACAAGCAGAAAT